AAACCTTTAAACCTTTAATTCAATAAAGAACTTCTGTTTTAGATACTCCAGAAATAAAGTTTAACTGGTTAGTAATGTGGTGTTGCTGTGTTGCTGTTTGTGGAGAGGTTCTTTTTTTCTGAGGTCAAAGGTCTCATGTGGGGGCCCTGGAATATTTCCTTACGGGGGTCTTGGGGACAAAAAAAAAAGATATCTTCAAGAAATAGACTGTATTTTAATGTTGTTTTAACCCTTTCCCCAACTAAACTAAGAGACTATGAGAGAGTTAAAGAACCTTTAAAGAACTATACATGGGCTTACAGGTTTTACAGTAGTGGTGCTATATAGCACCTCATCAACTCCAAAGAACCGCTGAAGAACCATACAGGGGCTTAACAGGTTCTTTATACGGTAGTGGTGCTATATAGCACCTTAACCACTCCAAAGAACTGCTGAAGAACCACTGAAGCACCTTTTTTTTTTAGAGTGTAGACGTCTAATCATAGCCCAAGAATAGACTAGTCATCAATTAGACCGCTATTAAACGACTACATATATACGTCTAATAGACGGTGAATATGGGTCTAGGCTAAAACGAGGCTAAATTTGGGCTGTCAGTGAAAATCTAATAGACGTCTAATCATAGCCCAAGAATAGACTAGTCATCAAAAAAATGGCTATTAAACGACTACATATATACATCTAATAAACGGTGAATATGGGTCTAGGCTAAAACAAGGCTGAATTTGGTTTGTCAGTGAAAATCTAATAGACGTCTAACCACAGCCCAAGAATAGACTAGTCATCAATTAGACCGCTATTAAACGACTACATTTATACATCTGTTAGACAACAAAATGGCAATCCATTTTGCCATTTTTCCATACAGCTTTTGATGCTGACCGTAAAGTGCTGCTGAATGCTCCTGTGACTCCCTCCGGCCTTTTTGGTAGCGTCCATTACTGAGCGCTTCGCGGAAGCTCAAAAGCGCGCCAAAGCAATGAGTCACGTGATGCCGAGGCGCGCTTTCCAGCAGCAGCTTTCCTCGTCGGCACCTGGCTCTTCCCAGTGGAGAGAACCCCAGGCCAGCGTCCGCAGCGGTGACGGCTAACGTTACTGCTCCTCACCAGGAGCATTCCATTTCCGCAGGAAGGCGTGGGGTCCCGGGAGGAAACGCCACGGCCAGCGGAGGAGCCCGCGACGTGACTTTCGCCCGCCGCCAGCGGCTAAGCCGTCGTCCAAGCCGCCGTCCTGACGGTCTGAAAGAGCGTTTTACTTACTCAAAGTTGTTCTAAGGGCAGAAAGGAAAATTATTGGTTGAAAGATTCAACCAATGAAATTGGATCAGAGGTGGGGTCAAGACGTTTGGAAATTTGGAGGGAATCTACAGAGATACGTTATCGACTGCTCGTCGGAGATCGCATTTATTGTAAGGTAAGTGATTTTACGATATATTTTATTAAAAATCACACATAAACAGCCTCTAATGTTTACTAAGATAATTGGGGAACATTGAAAATGCACAAAACTAATAATCATCGTCTAAATATCCGATCGTATGCATTTTGATTCGACTGCTTCAGTTCACCGCACCAAAGCTGCTAATGGGATAACTGGTAAAACATGCTTTTCCAGTGCTAACTTACCCCGCTGTCTGTGAAGCCGATATATGCGATCACATAACT